TACTGCACATCCCTATCTATTTATTAATGTAAAAGGTAATGTGAATGCTCTTTAATGAAAACAAAGAAACATCCTGATTGAAAGAAAGAAAATGATCTTGTTTCACGGTTCCTATTTATTTGTATACGGTACCAAACTTATAAGACTCAATTGATTAAGGTAACATTAAATTTTAACATATGAGAAGCCTGTAAATGCCCAACCTACTGGAGGAATACTGATCTTTTATTTTATAAGGAAGAAATAAATATAATTTTATAATTTTGTAGGGGTTAAAGCTACAAGACAGATTATCTATCTACTCTGGATTTTCTGTAATTTACGGTGGAAATTTACAGGGACAGTTCCTATTTTCATATAGGGTAGTGTTCTAGTTGTGATCTGCTTTTCTTTAGCTGGAGATAGACTACTTAGCCAGAGTTTAGCAAGCCAAAAGAAGTAAGATTATTGTGCATTTATTGCAGTGTGCAACAAGATGACCAGTAAACATTTCTTGTGTTCTAATGCAGCAAGGGTTCCTATACCCTTATGCAGAAACTGGACAACAACTTCCATCAACTCTGAACAATGGGGCTGTCCCAGGTTTGAAAAAGGCACAGTATTTTATTCAGGGCACTGGGGAATAGGGGGGTGTATAATATAGCAAAGACTAACAAATATATGTTATGTGCAGCATATAAAGGTGGGTTATTTTGCCTAAATATTTAAGAAAACTCTAAACCTAACCATACAGTGTACAAATTAGTGGCAGACAATTTATGCCTGATATCCCTTGATTGAATGTGATATACCGGCCTCCTGGATCTATACCCCGCTTCCTGGATGACTTCTCCTCCTGGCTACCCTTCTTCCTCTCCTCTGAGCTACCCACCATCATCCTTGGGGATTTCAACATTCCTGTCAACCTCGACAACCCAGACACAGCCCGTCTCCTCCACCTAACCTCCTCCTTTGCACTTGCACAGTGCATACAATCCACCACCCACTCTGACGGAAATATCCTGGACCTTGTCTTCTCCAACCGCTGCGCTCCCCACAACCTCACTAACACCCCCTTCCCTCTCTCTGACCACAACCTGATCACCTTCTCTATCTCCTCATCCTCCAACGCCTACCCCTCCAAATGTCACACTACTACCAGCCGTAACCTCCGCAACCTTAACCCTGCCTCCCTCCACTCTGCAGCTGACCAACTCCACGACCGCATCCTCCCCCTGTCCTGCCCCGACTTGGCTTTGACCGCCTACAACAATGCGCTCTCAACAGCCCTTGACTCACTAGCGCCTTTAACCACACGCAACATCAGACCCCGACCGCTCCAGCCCTGGCAGACTGATCACACCAAAACCCTCAAACGACAAAGTCGTGCCCTGGAGCGACTATGGCGCAAAACCAAATCCCAACAAGCCTTCACCCGCTATAAATCTGCCTTCCGCACCTACACCTCCTCCCTCCATGCTGCCAAACAGGCCTACTTCTTGACCGTCATCAAGGCCCTCTCCTCCAATCCTCGCCGACTCTTCTCTGCCTTCAACTCTCTACTCTCTCCACCCCCACCTCCACCCAGCACCTCACTCACTGCCCTTGAGATTGCCAATCACTTCAAAAACAAGATTGACACAATTCGCAAGGACATTGCCGCAACTCACACGCCCTCTCAACCCGTCCCCTCTCACACAGCTACCCCCTTATCCCCCCCCCCTCGACATAACCCGCAGGGACTTCGTCGCTGCTCAAACTCTCTCCAACCCCCTTCACCCTCACTCAGCTACCCCCTCATCACCCCTCTCCCACGGCCTCACCACTGCTCTGACCTCCTCTTCCACCCCACCCTACATTCCTCATACTGCAGCTCCCCCCACACTCCGCACCTTTGACCTTACTACCATCGAGGAAGTCTCCAAGATCCTCTCTGATGCCCGCCTCACCACCTGCCCCCTCGACCCTATCCCCTCACAACTCCTACGACCTTCCTCCTCCTCCATCCTACGCTCCCTCACCCACATCTTCAATCTCTCCCTCTCCTCAGGCACTTTCCCCTCCCCTCTGAAACATGCACACATCACCCCCATACTTAAAAAGCCCTCCCTGGACCCCAATGACCCGAACAACCTCAGACCCATCTCCCTGCTCCCATTTACATCTAAACTCCTCGAGCGCCTAGTCTACACCCGCCTATGCTCTCACCTCAACGACAACAACCTCCTCGATCCCCTACAGTCCGGCTTCCGTCCCCTACACTCCACCGAAACTGCCTTACTCAAACTCTCCAACGACCTGCTAACCGCCAAAGCTAATGGCCACTATTCAGTGCTCCTACTCCTTGACCTCTCTGCGGCCTTCAACACAGTCGACCACCCCCTCCTCCTCAAAAAACTACACTCCCTCGGCCTCAGAGATTCTGCTTTCTCCTGGCTCTCATCCTACCTGTCACAACGCTCCTTCAGCGTTACCTATAATGCTACCACCTCCCCCTCACTCCCCCTCTCTGTTGGGGTCCCTCAAGGCTCTGTCCTCGGGCCCCTTCTCTTCTCCATCTATACCTCCTCCCTTGGCCAACTCATACACTCTCACGGCTTCAACTACCACCTCTATGCCGACGACACACAAATCTATCTCTCAACCCCCCACCTCACCCCCTTGGTCTCAGCCCGAATCACACACCTTCTGAGCGACATATCAGACTGGATGTCGCTCCACTTCCTTAAATTGAACCTCTCCAAAACCGAGTTTCTTGTCTTCCCCCCCCCCAGCCCGGACACCACCCCCCATTGATTTCTCCGTCACATCCAACAACGCTACCATCAAACCCGCCCTGCAGGCCAGAGTACTGGGTGTCATTCTGGACTCCAACCTATCCTTCCAGCCCCAAGTCCAATCTTTAACAAACTCGTGCAGACTCCACCTCCGCAACATCGCCAAAATCCGCACGTTCCTAACCCCAGAAACCACTAAACAGCTCATCCACTCCCTCATCATATCACGACTCGACTACTGCAACTCCCTCCTCACTGGCCTGCCTCGCCGCTGGCTATCCCCGCTTCAGTCCATCCTGAATACGGCTGCCAGACTCATTCACCTTTCCAACCGCTCTGTCTCCGCCACCCCCCTCTGCCAATCCCTCCACTGGCTTCCGATTGCGCAACGGATCAAATTCAAAATCCTAACGCTGACGTACAAAGCTGTCCACCATACTGCCTCGAACTACATCACTGACCTAATATCCAAGTACCGCCCAGCACGCACACTCCGCTCCTCACAAGACCTCCTTCTCTCTAGTTCCCTGGTCTCCTCCTCCCATACCCACCTCCAGGACTTCTCCAGGGTGTCACCCATCCTCTGGAACTCCCTGCCCCAACCCATCAGATTATCACCTACTCTCCTCTCCTTTAGGCGCACCCTGAAAACCCATCTCTTCAGGGAAGCCTACCCCACCCCCTGCTAACTTGCCGACCTCCTCCACTCTTCCTACCACTCCATCCCCCACAGCTATCTCCTCCTGTGCCACCACCCCCTCCCTCCTAGATTGTAAGCTCGAAAGAGCAGGGCCCTCGATCTCCCTCATGTTTTGCAATGTATTGATATTGTTCTGTCACATGTTCTGTCCCCCTTTGTAATGTACAGCGCTGAGCGAACTATTGGCGCTTTATAAATACTGTATAATAATAATAATAATAATAATTGAAGAATAATCCATCCAATTAGATGCAGCCACTGTAGAGCTCTGTTGGTGTCAAAATACAATAGCCACATTGGAGGATTTGTCAACCCCCCTAAAAAAAAACTATCAGTGTATGGCCAGCTTTATGCCACTTCCCATTCTTTGGTATCAAAAGGTCTTAATTCTTCCCATACTGCTAATTAAGTATTCTCCATCTAGTGTCCAGTATTCAGACCTTACCTCATTTCCTGTTAGTGGAGAGAGAAAGCTACCACCCAAGAAGCTCAGCTCTTGGGACACGTAGTCTCGCCATCATCTGACATTAGATTATTAAGCATCTCCTGAACTAAATATCCCAACTGACTGAACCGCAGAGAGACTCATGGAAAAGCCTTTATATGTTTTCAATATTTGCGGACTCACTCTCTTGGCCCAGGACTTCTTACAGAACAGTAGGCTGTCATTCTGCACACAGTGATGGTACGCTGCTGTGGCCTAGCTGGTTGCAGCCACATTCCAGATGGCAGATCCTCATTGCTGGGGCTCAGTCTATGGGGCTGAGTGTAAAAGTCATTCTTCAGCCTGAGACCAGCACACCACACTCTGAAGCTGATCGCTGACTTCACCTTGTGGCTGGCCAGTCATCTGCTCCTCATCTCAGTGAGTCTTTAGCACTTATACAGCATATCCTGTTCCCATGGAGGCTGCCTTCAGGTCAGGATTGGTGAGTGGGCAGATGCCCATATCTTTCTCTACTGTCACTCCACTGGTTAGAGACACTGTGGGCACTTTAACCGCTAGCCTACAGGGCACTTATACCCCCTTCCTGCCCAGGCCAATTTCCAGCTTTCAGCGCTGTCGTACTTTGAATGAAAAATGCACGGTCATGCAACACTGTACCCATATGAAATTTTTATCATTTTTTTGTGACAGATAGAGCTTTATTTTGGTGGTATTTAATCACCTCTGGGTTTTTTTTTTTCTTAAACAAACCAAAAACCACAGAAAATTTTGAAAAAAAAAAAAAAAAAAAAACGTTTTTTTCTTAGTTTTTGTTATAAAATTTTGTAAATAAGTGATTTCAATCACCTCTGGGTTTTTTTTTTCTCCTTCACTGATATGCGCTAATGAGGCTGCAGTGGTGGGCACTGATAGGCTGCACTGATGGACACTGATAGGTGGCACTGATGAGGCACTGGTAGGTGGCACTGATGGGCATTGACAGGCATCACTGATGGGCACTGAAAGGCAGCACTGATATATGGCACTGATAGGCAGCACTGACTGGCACTGATAGGCAGCACTGATTGGCAGCACTGATAGGTGGCATTGATTGGCAGCACTGATAGGTGGCACTGATTTGCATTGATAGGTGGCACTGACTGGCACTGATGGATGACACTGAAAGGCAGCTCAGATGGGCACTGATATGTGGCATTGATGTGCACTGGTAGGCACAGATATGTGGCACTGATGGGCACTGGCACGAGACACTGATGAACACTGACACAAGGCATTGATAGACACTGACAGGTGGTGCTGCTGGGGCTACACTGATCATCAGGGCACACTGATCATCAGTGCCCTGATGATCAGTGTACATGTCCCCTCCACGGAAAGTCGATTACCGGCTCTCCTCTCCTCACAAGCTGTCAGCGTGACAGCTCGAGAGGAGAGAAATGCCGATAACCGGCATTTCCCTGTTTACATGTGATCAGCTGTGATTGGACACAGCTGATCATATGACCGAGCCGACATCTTCGGCTCTTTCTGTGATCGGTGATCCTCTGTGTCTGAGGGACACAGCGCACAGCCGATCGCCGCGCACTCCCTGAGCCGCGCATGCGATCAGCATAGGTCCCAGAATGAGAGAACCACCTTATTACTATATGACGGGCGGGAGGTGGTTAAAGGAACCCTGCTCAGCTATTAACCTATTGGATACTAAAATATACTATTACTCACAGGCCACAATGTGCTAGTGAAGATACTACCTTGCACCTAAAACCTGAATTGTCTTTATATTATTAGTTTTTTTTCACTGGTATAAAGCAGGAGTATTGCTCAGTGGCCAAGTTGTCCAGAGGGAGTTGACCTGTTTCTAAGTCTCTCCCCTTTAAACCAGTGTTGCATTTGACTGCTCTATTTAGGAGCACTGGTTCATTTATAAGTCTATATATCTTTCCATCTACATTCAGATATACATTCAGATTTATAACCACATAATTGTACAGTTATTATTAGTTTGGTGCTACTTAACCAGTTGGTGTCACACTGAAGTGATTCTTTAAGGCTGATCTGTGAATTATTCATCTGCCACTTTGAATCCTTTATTCAACTTCTTTAAATACAGTATTTGCTATGGTAAAACTGAATTGTGTCCTTTTAATCAGTTAAAGGAGTGCCATTGTCTGCACTTAATAGGTCTGGACCTAGAGTGTCAGAAGGGCTGAGAGGCTTGCAGAGTCAAGGCAACAACAGGGGACACTTGGGAAACTTAAATGGACCTTAGTGAAGGAGCCACCTGAGGGCCTAAGAAGAGGGAAGAGCTCCAAAGGTCAAAAGAGATTGAAGCCTAAGAAGGGATGTAGAAAGAAGCACCCTGAGAGTTCCTCTGACTCACTACAGATGTCCAAATGTGAGCCACCAGAGTGGAGGGGAAGGGCATGGAAAGTCAATGTACCACCTCCCGCCAAAGGAGCAGTCAGGTCCTCTCAGCAAATACTAGGCAGAACAAAGACTCAAACAAATAAGTCCAGGATAAGGTAGGTGCCTAAGAAGCTTGTAGGGTCATCTCCTATAGTTTCAGTTCAGGTGGAGGTTGTTTACACCAAAGCCTTGCTGGACACTGAGGCACAAGTGACATTGCTGTATACACTTTTATGACAAATATTTGAAACATATTCCTCTATGCAAACTGGAAGAACTGGAGATTTGGGGAATTGACTCTCAGAAATTCCCATATGAAGGATATATCCTAAGAAAGATAACATTTGGCCCTTCAGTGTCGGGAAAGACGGAGACATTCGATGCATTAGCAATAGTATGTCCCCAGCCACCAGGAATAAGGCAAAACTCCTTATTACTCAGGACAAATACTCATATAGTGAGATAATTACTCACCCCATTGGTGAAAAAAGAAGGCCCCATGTTAAAGGGAATACATCCTCGACTACACCAAGCCTTCCAGTGTGTAGTTTGAGAACAAGGAGTCCTCAAGGAAGGGGTAGGAAGATTGTGGAGGCTGGACACCAGGAAAGGGTGTTGCAAGCAGGAGAAATAGCTCGCATGAAGGCCACAGTTAAGTTGGCTTGGTCTCAGCCAATTCTCAAGGAGAGAAAACAGAAGTTGAGCTGATTCAGGAGGTAGTGCCCACCAGGGCTTTGTCCCAAAGCGAGGGAAATACTACCAATGTCCCCATCACATTGAAACCTCAGATGGAGATTAGGTGAGTAAGTTTGGCTACTCCAGTGACTCTAGCTGCTTTGGGGGGGCAAGATTCAGACTGCCAGCCAGGGAATGAACTTGGGCCCCAACACTTCACCTTACTGCCAAAGTGAGAGAGGAGAGCCAGCGATCATCTGTCAAGGTGGGAGAAGATGTTCTCCAAGAGCTTTGATGTGGGATGCACCAAGAATACTCAACATAGGATCCAACTGCAAGAAAATAAGCCCTTTAGGGACAGGGTGAGCCGTTTGAAAGACCTTAGAGAAAAGCTTGCTGAATTGAAGAGATCAGAAATCATCCAGGAGTCCGGAAGCCCTTACACTTCCCCTATAATAGAAGTTGGAAAGAAGAATGGGTCCCAATAGTATAATATCCCCAATAGTATAATGTCCGCAGAGGATGTGTATTGACTACAGGACCTTGAACTGAAGAACCATACTTGACCAATACATGACTCCTTGTATTGAGGATGCACTTCATTGCTTACCCGGGGCAAGGTGGTTCAGTGTCCTGGAGTCGAGGAGTGAATACTACCGAATCCCAATACATCCTGAAGATCGGGAATATACAGCGTTCATTTACCTGCTGGGTTTCTTCACATGCAACAGAATGCCCCAACGGTTATCGGGAGCTCCTGACACTTTTCAGAGTTTCATGGGATGCACAGTTAGAGACATGAATTTAATAGAGGTCCTGGTGTACCTTGATGACATTACAGTCTTGGGGAAAACCTTGGAAGAGCATGAGGGGAAACTCTAGGTTTTCCAGAGGCTGCATGAAGGGCTGAAATTGTTATTAGAGAAATGTTAATTCTGTAAACCTTTATCACCTATCTGGGTCATGTGGTCTTAGCCGAAGAGATTGCCACAGATCCCAAGAAACTAGAGGCAGTAACCTCGTGACCCAGGCCAAGAATAGTCACTGAGTTGAGATTCCTGGGGTTTTGCTCATTGTACTGAAGATTTGTAGTAAACTTTGCAAATATTGCTCAACCACTCAATGAGTTACTTCAGAGGGATCCTAGTGAGGGTGGAGAAAATAAGGTAAAGCCAAAAGGAGAGAGGAGTCAGGAAATCACAAGAATCCATTCAAAATTAATTAATGAGGAAGAAAAACCTCACAGAGGCTCCCGTACTGACCTATGCTGATCCTGCTAAACCCTACAAGCTCCATGTGGATCCCAGTCGAGAGAGACTGGGAGGGGTTTTATATCAGAGACAGGATGGGAAGTTGCATCCTGTAGCTTATGTAAGCAGAAGTCTCACCCCACCTGAAAAGAATTATCCAGTTCCCAATTTGGAGTTCTTGGCCTTGAAAAGGACCTACCTCCTAACCACAGCCAAGCTGGATGATACCAGACATCGGTGGTTAGCCGCCTTATCTGGATTTCACTTCAATCTGAAATATTAACCGGGGGTAAGAAACCAAGATTGCAATGCTTTATCTAGGAGACCGGGAAAATAAAGAAAAAAGACCAGAGGGTAAAGGACCCAGAGGTCAAAAAGAGGGGCCAAATGAGGACAAACTGCAGCATTGAAAACCAAATAATAAACAAAAATAATTTAATTTGCAGTAAAAAAGTACAAATATCACAAAGACATATATGGCATGATAAGCCAAAATATACAAAAAATTACCTCACCACCACCCAGGGGGAAAGGAAGTCAAAAGCAGAATGGCAAGATCAACCTGGACAATACTAGACATGCAAAAAGTCCCATAAAGATGTGATGAATAGTAGACCTGTGATGAATAGTATAGTCTCAAAATTTGAACAAAACAGTGAAGATGACAAGCAGGTGATGATATAGATAGCTGAAGAAGGTATGGTGAGTACCAAGGATAGGATTCATGTATAAATCACATAACCATATAAACATACACGAGAAGTGCATCATTTTTTGTGGACTTTTACTGAACTGGGTTTTCACCTGACAACCCCTCGTGTTTCAAGTATCCAAGGCATCTATATATTATGCATATTATGGGCTCCACCAAGCTATTATGCCATCTGTATGATACATGTCTACATGATAATCATTGACTGTCTAAATGACCTTTGGGAAATTGGGCATATTATGTCATATGTTGCCAATTCCCTTCCATCATCAAACCACTCTTGCAATATTGAGGAGATGTATTCTACATAATTTTGCACCACAAGCCTAACCGCATATTTTTGATGAGAGATCTATAATACTTTCACACTTTACCTGATACCTGAGGAATAACCTTCAGCTCTTTACCCTGATACTAGGGATTATATCAATTATTTTTGATGGTTGCATCAAGGATCATGTTTATCAATATTGATTATTATGCACTTCTCATGTATGTTTATATGGTTATGTGATTTATACATGAATCCTATCCTTGGTACTCACCAAACCTTCTTGAGCTATCTATATCATCACCTGCTTGTCATCTTCACTGTCTTGTTCAAATTTTGAGACTATACTATTCATCACAGGTCTACTATTCATCACATCTTTATGGGACTTTTTGCATGTCTAGTGTTGTCCAGGTTGATCTTGCCATTCTGCTTTTGACTTCCTTTCCCCCTGGGTGGCGGTGAGGTAATTTTTTGTGTACTTTTTTGTATATTTTGGCTTATCATGCCATATATGTCTTTGTGATATTTGTACTTTTTTTACTGCAAATTAAATTATTTTTGTTTATTATTTGGTTTTCAAGGCTACAGTTTGTCCTCATTTGGACCCCCTTTTGGCCTCTGGGTCCCTTACCCTCTGGTCTTTTTTCTTTATTTTCCCATTTATGATTAGGGTCCTGAGGATACCACATATATATATCTATGTGAGTCAGCATTATTCATAATTGGGTCACTATCTTTATTCGGTAATTTCTGACCCTGAGCTTTGGGAATCCTGGTGTGACTCAGCTAAACCCCAAATTGCTGCCAGCCAGTTCGGTCTCTGACTCAGCAAAACACCAAATTGCTGGCAGGTAGTTCAATTACAAATTCCAAGGTGATTTGTAAAGAGTTGGACCGACTGCAACAGGAGAGGTCCATCAGCCGGTCTGGAAGAAACATGGCAGTTTTCACTCCCAGAGAAGCATAGACAAATAGTGTTGATGGCCCTTTACAATGAGCACAGACATTTGGGTCTCCGAGCAGCCAACAGTTTCCTGCAATCAGCTCCACCTGGCCACACCTGTTGGGAGGGTATTTAGGTTCCACCTCTGCTATTACTCCTTGCGTCAGTGTTTTGATTGCCTTGCTTGCTGCCAGAGCCATCTTGCTCTTGAACGATCTTTGCATTCTGTTCTCTTGTTGCTACTCACCTTGTTCTTGTACCCAGTCCTGATTCCCCCTGTGACAGAACGCCGTGCTCGACCCCTGTCCTTCTCACCATCTTGTGACCGAAGGACCAGCCAATCTCGCACCGCGCTGTCACATGCTTAACAAGGCCACTCTCAGATGCGCCCTGCACAAAGATTTTCCAGCTCGCGGGACCACAATCTATGTACCAGCAGCCTAAGAGCGATTGTTACTGGATTAGGTTAATTACGCAATTAACCCTTCACACTGCCACCACCACTTTTTTACAGAGGAGGAAATTCACAAATCCTAGCAATCACACTATGATTTTAGCATAAGCGTAACACATACTGTCATCACAGACAACTATGTTCAGAGAATTATTACATACAGTAGCACTCTTCAAGACACAGGGATTCTTTAGTTTGCATTAAAAGCTTTAGAAACAGTTTCAACACTTTTCAAAATAGGATTTATTACTAAAAAGGTCAAAATGGTGCAATTAAAATATTTACAGAAAAAGATGTTAGAAAGACATAAAGAGAACAAAAAAGCAACAGAGAAATAAAAGAAAGGAATTAAGAACGCAGAATATTTGCAATGTCCTTGGTTTAACAGAGTCCAATTGTCCGAGCAAAAAGGTTGCCTTCACTCTCAAGTCCATTAGATGTTTTTTGATTGATGTTAAACAAGAGCTCTCCTCTCCAGGCCTGTCAGTCTTGTTCTATGATATTAAAGGGGTGTCACCTGAGAACAAATGACCAATCATCCAGTTTGGGGATGGGTGCTAGGCGGCCCCCAAGTTAATGACCAAGTCCCAACTGCAGTTTTATACTACTATTAATAACTTCCAGTATGTGCAGGCGGTATTCTAGCAGCTGGCAGATTAATATTCAGAATTATATTTCCAACCCAGGGATACCAAACACAGCGCACCCTTGTCACCCAGGAGGGAAGAGACTTTCTTCTCTCTCCTATGTACTAATATAGTCATGTATGGCCTTGTTTGACTCGCATAAAATTACACTGTTCAACAAATTTTTATTTTTTGCCAGTTTTGGAAACAAAAGGATCCATTTCTTAATGAATTTCACATTCTGAGTTCAAATATAACAATGAAATTTGTCAATTGGCTTTAGTTTTTCTGTAAACGGAAAGTTTTCTACTATAGGCGTAATGACTACATAATGCACAATAATTATATAGATAGATGTCTTTCCACAAATATAAAGCAAGTGATATTGACTACATAACAAAGCCTAAATGGCATAATATATTGCATAGGATTACCAAGAAAAATTATAGCCATAAGCTAAGTTGAATCATTTTAATACTTAGGATTCTCACTAGTTTTGTCTTCAGTTTGTGTCGGTTTTGCTTCTCTTGGCTTTTCTCTTGTATTCGAGGAAAGGGCTATCTCTTACAACTGCACGTGACTACACGCTTCAGGTTCTTCCTCACTTGACTCAACCACGAAGGATTCTGGTGCTTTAGGAATTGGTAGCCCCTCTCCATGAGGAACTGGACGTATTGCCGATGGAATATTTGGATAGTGCACAGATAACTTTTTCTTCTTATTTAGCCCTTTTACAATTGGAGGCACCATACAAAAGTAACAATTACTAACATGATCTGTTGGCTCTCTCCAAATCATTGGCACAGCGAAAGGCATAGATGCCTTTTTTCCATTCAACCATTGCTCCAGTGCCGTCCCACAAGAATTGCAGCATATATGTGGTCCAGCCCAGCTCTTGTCCTGGTCTCCTATCTTGCAGCCAAAATACAAGTTGTAGGCTTTCTTAATCATTCCTGTTATCCTCCTTTTTTGTGAGATAAAAGTTATTTCACCGCAGATATAGCAGAAATTATCTGCTTTATTCACACAAGTTCGAGGCATTACTGAGTAGCCTATATAAGCATAAAACGAAATGTAAAGACGCTGTCGAACTACAATCAGCTACAGATACTGCAGCTTTTATGCAGTGAAGTGATGCAATTAAAGGCTAATATTGCATCATCTCAGTATACATGCAATTTTCTATTGGTCACCAGTATCAATTGCGCAATATGCAGCTGAAGTTGCATCATAATTTTGAATGGCTTACGTCATTAGATGGGTGAATATATCATGGAAACTAGAGCCAATCAACATTTTTTAGGGTCATTTTCGTTTTCAGCACCCCAAAATTATGTAAGATTAGCTAATTTTATGCCCAAAACTTTTTACCTGTTGAACAGTGTTATCTATCCAAATATATACCTAATATTAATGTGCCCAGTTCCTGCTGAACCTTATGAACTGTATGTGAAATGGTTACATGTGGAATGGATGTTTTATGGCATGCTCTGCATCCTAGAGCCCTAATGGCCTAACAGGTCATGGCTGACTGAGTTACTGTTTTACGATCGGGCAGAGGAAAGTGGTTTACAAAGATGACCTCCTGCACCAGACTAATTAGAGGTGTACAGATCTGGAGCTTCATCTATCTGTGTTTTATTTAAGATAAGAAGACCTTTTGAAGTCCGTTCAACTTACAGCTGCAAATTCCATTTCAAGAGGGAGGAGGAAAGGAGAGACAAAATGGCTGAGGCCTAACAAGATGTCACGTAGAGCGTCCATGTCTCTATTGTGCACAATCATCACACCCCCTTCTTGCATTCCCCCAATTACCCTTGCTTCCCATATTGTATATATTTATACATATTGTATATAGTTAGTTTTCTAGTTTTCTAGGCTTCTGTTTATGTTGTTTATGTTTGCTATTTGCTGCTTACTTTTTGCTTACTGATAATAAATGTATGTCCTTATACACTGTTTGGTTCCACAGATCCGGTCATCTCAGCTGCTGACTCTTGAGATACCACAGATGCCTCTAAGCAAATGGCTCCCAGTTCCCAGGTGTAGCTGATCTGGTCGTTAGAGTTAAGATGTACAGGTTATTTGTCAAGTGCAATTTGCAGTAGAAAATGAAGATTTCTGTCCCTCATTTTGGCGGGACCTCGCTGGTTATGAAGCATTCTGGCAGCACAGACTTTAGTTGATGAGGGCAGATTCTCACTTGATTCAGGTCTGTTCTGAATTATTATTTCTGCTTACCTCTCAGGGCCATGATGTTTTCACTCTTCCTTTTACCATGCTTCAGTTTGAATTTTTGGGATGGCTACTGAAACATTGCACATGTTCCTTTCTCCAGTAGTATTCAGTTCATTCATAGCAGGTTCTGTTAGATTCTGTTGCTGCTGTGCACTCTTTAATTGAGCAAGAGAAATGCAAACTGACTTAAGCTCAGCCTCTGCTCCAAGCTTGATCAGAGATCCTATTCTCAGTGTTAGATAATCCAAAGCCAGATCTGCCTCTAAACATAAAGAATCTCTTCCTTTGTTACCCTCAGCAACTACAGCTGCTTCTGAGTGTTTCCTGCCTCTTGTAGATCAGTACTCTTATCAGTAACCAAACTTCCCCTGCATGTAATCCATGGAAGGTTACATCTATAGCACCGTTACCCATAGCAACTTCTCAGACCTCTTCCTCTACTTTTGTTACCCTTTCTGCTAAACCTCCAAGTACTGTTACTACTTTTCTATCAGCAGTACACTCTGGTCAACACCATGCAATTGTTTTCAGGACTCCAGTATCAACTCCAAAATAGATATTCCATGCTCCAGATTCCATGCTGCCTGATGATGAGGTTTATTCCTCCTTCATGTTACCTGCTGATGGGGTCCATTCTTCCATGTTGCCTGCTGGTGGGGCCATTCCTCCTCCATGTTGCCTGCTGATGGGGTTCAGCCTGCCCCTATGCCTGCTGACAGGGTTCAGCCTGCCCCTATGCCTGGTGACAGGGTTCAGCCTACCCCTATACCTGCTGACGGGGTTCAGCCTGCCCCTATGTCTGCTGAAGGGGTTCAGTCTACCCCTATGCCTGCTGACGGGGTTCAGTCTGCCCCTATGCCTGCTGACAGGGTTCAGCATGCCCCTATGCCTGCTGATGGGTTTCAGGTTGCTTCTGGTGACCTACTGTCCTCTGCCAAGCCTGCTGCTGGTGACCTGCTGTCCTCTGCCAAGCCTACCGCTGGTGACCTGCTGTCCTCCACCAAGCCTGCCGCTGGTGACCTGCTGTCCTCCACCAAGCCTGCCGCTGGTGACCTGCTGTCCTCCGCCAAGCCTGCCGCTGGTAACCTGCTATCCTCTGCCTAGCCTGCCGCTGGTGACCTGCTGTCCTCCGCCAAGCCTGCCACTGGTGACCTGCTGTCCCCTGCAAGCCTGGTGCTGGTGACCTGCTGTCCTCTGCCAAGTCTACCGCTGGTAACCTGCTGTCTTCTGCTGAGTCTGCTGCTGGTGACCTGCCTTCCTCTGCTAAGCCTGCCTCTGGTGACCTGCTGCTTGTCAGGCCCGCCTCTGATTTGCAGTCCACTGCCAAACCCTTCTCTGATGACTTGCTGTTTGCTGCCAAGCCTTCCTCAGGCGATCCCCTGTCTTCTGCTATACATGATTATGTTGATTTCCGGGCTGCTATGCAGCCGGACTATGTCAATTCCCAGGCTGCTGCCCAATCAGACATTACCGATTCCCTACCTGCTGTCCAGCCTAACTGTGGAGATTCCTTACCTGCTGCCCAGCTGCACTCTGACTGTGTTAAGGCCCCAGCTGCTGATGCAACTGGAACTTCTGGGTTTCCATTGTCATGTGGCTTGCATGGGTTACCTGGCTGGCCTAAGATTCCTATTGTTGCCTGTTCTAAGTTCTTTTTGCAGGCGTTTGCTCCTGTTGTGCCTAAGCCAGGAGGTCCAGATACCCACTTTGAATGTGAGAGCTCTACTCGCTATTAAAGTCCCAGTAGTAGAGGTCTTCAGGGGAAGGGCTGAGTTCCATTTGAGCTTTGTCCTGTCCTAGGCAATATCTCTGCAATCCCAGATGCATTTGGGGTCCCGGGTCAGGTAACCTATGCCCTGGGTAGACCTAAGTGGCAGTTAAGATGCATGTCAGTCTCTAGCTACTTAAATGGGGAAGGCCCAGTTGTGATGGGACAACCTGGCATCAGGGTATCAGTTTGGATCAAGGACTCTGGTGTTGAGCCTTCAAGCTGCCTTTGGAGGGCCAGCGTTGGGACTTATGCTGCATTAAAGAATTGTAAGCTCCAAGTGTTGCGCCTCTTCTGGGATCTGACCAGCAGGGAGCCCAGCCAGTTTTCAGATGCCTGTAGCGGGGTACTCAGTCAGCCCCCAGTCATCTTCTGAAACCTGGTAGTGGGGTGCCCAGTCAGCTTCATGACCCCAGCGGTAGGATATGCTGGAGCATCCAGAGGCCGCTTCTTAAAGCGGGGGAACTGTTAGGACCGAATTCACCTGCTGATGGCACTGTGGTTCTCTGATCTGATAGCTGCAGTTCCAGTGACCACCAGTAGGTGTCTCCCAGCAGCCAGTAGGTTCCTGCCATCAGCTCCACCTGGCCACACCTGCTGGGAGGGTATTTAATTTCCACCTCTGCTATTATTCACTGCGTCAGTGATTTGATTACCTTGCTTGCTGCCAGAGCCCTCTTGCTTTGAGCTATCTTTGTATCATGTTCCCTTACTGCTGCTCACCTTGTTCTTGTACCCAGTCCTGATTCCCATTTTACCCTTGCTTCCCATATTGTGTATATATGTGTACATATTGTATATAGTCCATTTGCTAGGTTTCTGTTACTTAGGCATTTTTGGTTGTGGGTCACTCGTTGTTTGTTTGCTATTTGCTGGTGTGTGAATATCTTTTTGCTTACTGATAATAAATGTACTTCATTATACATTGTTTGGTCCCAGTTGCTTTATGTAGCTACACAAATCTGGTCATCTCAGCTGCTGACTCCTGACAGCACTATGGCCTGCCACAAAGAATACACATACAAAATACAAAGAAAATGCATTCGAAAGTTATGCGAGTTGGTGGGTTTCCAGAAATCCCGAACATCGCCTTATAACCCACAGGGAGACCCTCAAATGGAGCGGTTTAATTGCACTTTGTTAAACATGCTGGGAAATTTGTCCTCACAAAAGAAATAACACTGGGGAAATCACAATGCAGCTGTTGTGCATGCTTACAACATCATGGTGAATGATGCCACTGGGTATTCCCCCTACAGATTTGGGAGGGAAGCTCAAATGCCTTATGATCCAGTTTTTGGAACTTCTATTGACTACACATTTTTAACTTCCACTAAATGGTACGATGATCGGTTGTGCAAGATTCTAAAGGTAGCTTAAGAAATGGGAAGAAAAGTTTCTACCATTTGAGAGCAAGAGTTACAAAAAGAACTTTGACCTCAAAGTAAAGATACAGGATCTCCAGTCAGGGGATTGTGTACTTCTGAGTAACCTGTGAGTACCTGGGAAGCACACGTTATCTGAAGGTTGGTGATCTCAACCATACATCATCACAGGGTCACGTGGCTTCATCAGGGGGAAAACAAAACAATTGTTTTCCCCCTGATGAAGCCACGTGACCCTGTGGCGTAACGCATAGGGGAGGGGCTCTGACGTCACGACGCCGCGGTGGACGAGCGGCATTTACAAACACAGGATCTGGGCACAGCTCTGTTGGATACAGCTCTGTGGGAGACAGCACAATGTGAGTGGCAACTTATTCATAATAAAAGATTTAACCTCACAAAGGATAAGGCACTATTGTGGCTCTTTCTTACATGGTATCCCAATTTACTGGGAGGAGGAAATACTACTGATAACCATCCCTACTATCCATTGAGGCTCAGTGTGGAAGTAGGAAAAAGGGAGACCTCTGGTGGCAGGAAAAAGGCAATATAGATCCATGGCATGGATGGATATATATACATAATATGAAGATTACTACCTAGTCCTGAGAGGACAAAAAGCGCTGTTAGCCACTGTGTTTGGCTAAAGAAGGAGGTGAGCGCACATCTATCTATAGAGCACGGGGAGTGTGGCACAGCACTGAATTTGTCACTGAATAAATTTAAAGTATAAAGAGGACTATTTTTTAGTATTGAATCAGAATTTATTTTTTTCAGCACTATATGTTGCACTGATTGAAGCACATAAAGTTTTTTTTTCATAGCACTATTTATATGATCACTTGTATATATGGAGCACGGCACCTGTATATGTATCTGAAGATATATATACACATTCTGTTATATAACACCACATTCCAGCTCATCTGCCTGTGAGTATCCCAATCCTCTCCCCTGTGATCCCTTCAACTCTGCAGCCCATGATTTACCCAGCTCTGCTACCTGTGATCACTCCATTTCTGTAGTCCATGACCATGCCAGCCCTGCAGCCCATGATCATCCCAGTTCAGCTGCCAGTGACCACTCCAGCTCTCCAACCTGTGATCACCCCAGCTCTGCAGCCCGTGAGCACCCAAATTCTGCATCCCGTGAGTGCCCTAATTTTGTATCCCGTGATCACCCCAAATCTGCAGCCCGTGACCACTCTAATGTTGCAGCCCATGATCACCCCAATTCAGCAGCCCGTGATCACCCCAATTCTGCAGCCCGTGACCATTTCAATTCTATATTCAATGATTTACTAGAAAGACCTCCTGACTCTCCAATAGAAGTGGAGCGTCTCCACAGAGCTCTGAGACCCAGGCAAAGAGATAAAGACCCGCCCAGAGTCACAATCTGTTGTTTAGTGAACTTTCGCTTAAAAGAAGAAATCCTTAGACGAGCTAGAAACCACAACCGTATCTCCTTTCAGGGCACAGAGGTCAAAATCTTCCAAGATCTTTCCAATATCACTCTCCAGCATAGAAGAGAACTCTACCCACTACTAGATCTGCTACGATCCAGAGCTATCACATATTGATGGAAATTTCCGTTTTGCCTCTCCACAACAGCTCATGACCGCACTGTCAACTTAAAAGTACCGGAAGACCTGGAACACTTTTGCAATGCCTTGGAATTACCACTTGACCTACCAGATTGGTATAGCAACTTTCACCTTCCCCCCATGAGGCGAGCCACCTCAATAGAAGACTTTAAAGAAGCGGGATGCTCAGATCACTGACACTGCTGGCTCTCCCTTTACTCCTCACCACCACCAAAAGGAGGTAGAGCCCCCAGGAATGGTAGCCCCGCAGCTTCACCAGCCCATCAAAGAGCCCGCCATTCTTCCTAAACCCAAAGCCTCTAATCCTGCTGACTAGCGGAAGCGAGACCATCCTCCAAACTTCCATGATCCTGTTTCCACCCCCCAAGGGGTTTTTTCTCTTCACTTTTTTTTCTCCATGTTATTTTGACCTCACTTGCTAAGATCTTGGAATAACTCTTAGTTTTGCTGGTACCTTGACTATCCCAGTCTATCGCTTTAAGCAGAAGCAAATATACTCCTGACCTCTTACAGATAGGCCCACTTAAGGATACCTACCATTGGAGGGACTCAACTCTGTAAACTGGCTTTGATATCATCCTACCAACACTTCCACTTGGGCTACGAACTTCCCCTGACATAACTTCTATGCTCAATGACCACCCTTCCTCGTCTATTGAAGATTGGTTTCGACTAGAGCTTTTTGTGCCTACTAAGAAATACCATCAGTTATTACTGGGGACCAATACTGCAGGACTATCAAAGATACCCATGATCCCAGAAAATAGATCAGTCTTCCTGGAATGCCACTCTCAGCACATCCAACCATCCTGCGACACGCTTGACCCTCTATTGGCTGTTCAACTCTCACCGAATCGCACAATCACTATCGATGCTGATCATCCTGTTGATTCACAGAGACTGACACAACACCCAGAATCTCGCTTATGCCATGTTTCGTGAGTAAGAGAACTGTGGAACTCCCTGACATTCATTTTAGTATTACCAATACTCTTCACATTAACGTGACTGCATCTTACTTTTACTCCGCTATGTCCTTACCTCATCTATTCAACTTGTGCATCATTTCACTGAATGCTCATAACCTCTTCCATCTCCTGATTCACTTCAACTCATCAACACC